CCCCGTTTTAAAAAAAAAAAAAAAAAAAAAAAGTAACTAGGTCCATATTAAGCAGGTTTCTGGTGAGAGGATCCCTGCCGGACAGCCCCGGCCAGTTCTATCTAGACAGGGCAACTCCACTGTGATTAAACCAGTGATTCTCAGCCAGGGTGCAACAGCCCCCTGGGGTGCAGTGAGATCCTTTTAAGGCTGCTGCTGGGTGCTATGCAATATTAGCAACACTAGGTATGCAAACACTGATATATGACTTGCAAGATAACCCAAGATTTCCAATAGGAAGTCACAGTATTAAGAACATTCTGTCCTGTCGCGGCCTTTCTGAGTTCTTTGCAACAGAAGAATTGCTCGGTTATTTTTCTGTAATTAAAAAAGAGTGAAAGGGGGGCCCTGAATCTAAAAAGTTTGAGAACCACTAGGTTAGAAAGTAGCATGTAGATTGTTCTCTCTTTTATGGACACAAGAGGGAACTTGAGCACAGATTCATACCAGGTCTGAACCTAATTTACTTTCTCCTGCTCCGTTGCTGCTGAAAGGCAGGAGATTCTGTGCTCTGCGGCTGGCACACTGCAGAGCAGTCGGATGGCTAGCCTCTGAAACAGGACCTCCGTGAGGCCCCTGAAAATTGGCAGCAAACACAGCCTCCTACCATGTGGGAAAAAGTGACATTCCTCCTCAGGCCAAGTCCTGCTGTGTGGCATGAGCCCCACCAGAGTGCAGGCCTGCCAGGAGCTGTGAGGGCACCAGGAATGAGTCGGTGCTGAAACATTTGGGCACGGACTTAAGCCCTCCTCCAAATTCTAGGGTTGCTCAGACCCTGGGAGTCTGGCTCAGGCCCTGCACAGGGCAGCGAGACTGGTAGAGAAGCTGCACCAGTTTGTCTTCTATCAAAAATAACAGCGGCAACAATAAGGAGCCTTGCTCACTCCCATGTCACTGTGCATGGCTCAGTGAGGAAAGTCGCAGAGTCGAGCCCCACAGGGGCACCGACTTCCACCTGCCTCCAGGTATCACTACTGGTCTCAACAAGCAGCAGCCAGGGTAGGGGACAGTGTGCCTGGAGCCCTGCTCCTCCAGCAATGCTGCCAGGGGACAACAAGAAGGGCCCTGTTGTGCCTTCCTGGTCCAGTCCAAGGCTGCTCCCACCACAGACACAGTGACATGGATGGGACCCTCGGCTGATCAGGTTCCTGCCTCCCTGCTTGCAGATGGTGGTGGCAAGGGAGGCCCTGCAGCCACAGGGGGACTCGAGATGACCCCCGTCCATGAAGAGGCCTTGCTCCTGAGACTCACCGAGCTCTCCTGGGTCTTGCCGTGGTAGCGCACCCTCACGAAGGGGTCAGAGGCACCGTTGCGGTCCTTCCGAGCCAAGTCCCTAAAGCAGAGAGAAGGGGGATGAAGAAAAAGGGCCTTCCTCGCCTTGCTACCATGGGCTTCCAATTGCCTGGGCTGCTGTGGAGAACAGTGCGCCCAGCAGAGTGGAGGCTGGCTCCCTGCACAACCATAAGGGACCCGCTCACATGGCCTCTCCTTGGTTCCTCCTGCTGGCTGCACACAAACAGGGACAAACAGAAGAACAAATCCCCAGGGTAAGGAATCAAAGGAAGAAATAGGTGGAGGAGAGAGGAACATGTCCCAGGGCTGGACAGATCTGCAGAAAAACTGGGCTCTGCGCTGGGACCCATATCATGCAGCTCCGGGCACGAACAGGAGACACCGGCTCCCTGCCACACACTGGACTGCACCACACCCTGGCTGGCTCAGGCCCAGCAGAACCAGGGTGGCTGCTGAAAGCACATGGCAGCATGAGGACTTCTCCAGGGGAGCTCCCTGGGCTATCAATTTGGTTCTCCCTTCCCTGGCAGGGGAAACACCGTGTATCTGGGTCCAAGAAGGCAGTTTTCCTTAAGCCCTCCTGGGGATACTGTTTTTCTGGCATGGTTTAACACCCGCCGAGGTGTTGGGGCTTAAAGCCCATTTTATGGAAATGGGAGGCTCCTCCCTAGCTTGCTCCTGCAGCCATATGGTTGAGGGCAGGTGAAATTTGGGGGCTTCTGAACCCCAAGCCCCTGGGCTTAGGCCTGCATGTAGGATGCCTGCCAAAAAATGTTGGAAATATCTGAAGCCCCTGTGGGGTGGAGGATGCTTGCCGGTTGTAGGGCCACTTATGGTTCTGGGCTGACTCATGGATTTGGACTTGATTTGGCTTGGAACATGAAAAGTTGCTTTAAAAACAAAGCAAAAAAAAAACAACCAAAACCAAAAACTTGGTAATCCCCTTCCCAAAAGCTGCAGAGTAGAGAAGATGCCTTTGGGGAGGCCAGGCTCCATTCCTAGGCCATGACCTTGGCAGGAGGGCACAAGGCCAATGGTCCACACAGTCTAGTATCCTGCCTCAGCCCATGGCCAGCATCACACTGCCAAGGACTCGTCTTCCAGTGTCCAGCAGCTGGTGGTGAGCTGACACCTAGAAAAAGGAAAATGTGTGGTCCTCTCTGTGTTTTACCTTCTCCTTTAACCTGCTGATTCAAGTCTGGACATTCACATTCATTATAAAAATGCCCAGTCAAGGACAGCTGATGGCTACATGCTCCCCAAGCCAAAGCATCAACATATGCTCCCTTGAGCTTGTGCCAGAAGACGGCAGGCATAGGACCTGATTTACCTTCTCACCCATTCAGCATGTTGTGTGCCTTCACTGTCTCCCCCACTCTCTCCCTCCTGGTCAGCGGCTCTTCCAGACTCTCCCCATTCCCATCACTTTGCTCCTGAGCCCCCTCTGCCTTTGCCACATCCCCTTCCATACAGGCCACCAGACCACTGTAGCGTTCCAGATGAAGTTTCCTTTCTACCTAGGTGAACTTCCACAATCTTTGAATTCTCCTCTGTCTGACAAAGGGTGTTTGGACCCAAAAACTTGCAGTGAAAGATTTTTTTTTGCTACTATTTAGCTGGTCTAATAAAAGACATCACCTCTAGCCCA